CCTGTAGGAGGGAGGTGCGCTGAGCCCACAATCCTCCCGCGCGCGGGTCGCGAGGACGGCGGACTGCAGCTCTCGAGAGCCCCGAGCACGCTGCCCACGCACGACAGCAGTCCCTGAGGCTTCAGGTGGCCACATCTATGGGAGGGTGTCAACTGGAGTTCTTCGCCCATCTGGAACAGAGTTGTCAGGCGCCTTCCAGTGGGCCAGGACTCAGAGCGACTTTATCAACAGATCGGAACCTCGCCCTACCCTACACCATTCTCGCCATCTATTCTGTTGAGACTCTTCCTCCCTTTCTCTGATTCTTTACTTTCCCAAGCACGATGTCCCCTCCTGACAATATGCCCAAAACATGTGAGATAAAATTTGGCCATCCTGACCTCTAAGGAGCACCCTGGTTGCACTTCCTCCAAAACAGATTTGTTTGTTCTTTTGACAGTCTGTGGGATAGATATTCAGTGCTCTCTTCTCCAACACCACAACTCATTCTGCTTCTCATCCTTGCTCACTGTCCAGCCTCAGATGCAAGAGGTTGAAAACACCACAGCCAGAATCAGGTGAACCTTAATCTTTCAACTCCCGTTCTGGCTCTTTAGCACTTTAACAATGTATTTCTCCAAGGCAACACAACTTCTGATTTTTTTAAAAAAATTTGATTTATTTACAAAGTTTGAATACATTGTTTTTTCACAAAAGATCCTTCCCACTTCCTTTACCCCACTCACTCATCGAATTGTGAAACCCTATGATTAACACCCTACCCCTCATCCACACCCCTCTATTTCCACCCTTTCTCCCCATGCCCTGGATCCTTATACTCATCCCACAATAATGGTTTTATACAGTATTTGTCCTTGTGGGACTGAGTTCACTCAGCAAAATGCTCTCCAGTCCCTCCCAAGTTAGGTAGTAATTAACAAAATCATTGCTTCTGCATGCTGCGTAGTATTCCATTATGTGAATGTACCACAACTTCTCAACCCATTTGTTTGTGGTTGGACATCTGGGCTGTTTCCATGTCCTTGTGATAGTGAATAATGCTGCCAAGAATATTGGTGTACAAATCTCAGTTTGTGTCTTAGTTCACATTTTCTTGGGATATATTGCAAGCAATGGAATAGCTGGGTGAGGGAAGCCGAATATAAAATTTAATAATAGTAGACCAAATGCTGTATCGGGAAATGAGGGAGGCTTAATACAAGCTGAAGGTCACCTTGTGACACTGGGGCATTCCTTAGGAGGTCATGTTGTGACACTGGGACATTCCTTAGGAGTCAACATTGTTCTTCTTTTTTATCAAATGAATCCCTCCCTCTTGAGATTAACATAAAGAGGAACTTGACTTTATCCGTAAAAGATTTCACCATTATCCTTTGTTTTGTACTTCCTTGTGATTCTATATAAATACGCAGAGAAGCATGGCTCGCGGTCTTCAGTCAAGAACTGTTGACCCCCTGTTTTACGCTCTCTGCTCTATCTCATTCCTGGCTGTTTGTCTCTTTATTATAAAATTATTCTATTCTTTGGGACCCTC